ATCTCAGTCTCATATGATGTGAGATCAACAGGCTGTCGTCATACAATCTGTTCACTGTAGTAATAGAAATGTTGATGCTATTCAATAAGAAACTTTATTTTTATTTCAATATCTCTATTTCAATAAAGCTTGTCTTCTCTCCTTAAACTATAGACTATGAGTGTATGAGCATGTTGGAGCCATGAAAATACAATTTAGGTTGAGAATTTGAGTTGCATGAAACAAAATTCTTAAATTCAAATGAAACACTTAAAAGTACGATTTAGCCTTTTAGGCCTAATTTAACTGTTCATATGGATCATACTCCTTGTTCTGACTATTGAGAGACAAGCTTTATTGAAATAGCTGCATATATTTTCTAAAAAATTCATAAAAGGCCTATTATTCAAGCACTGCATTGGTATGATTTTGTAAGCTGAGCAATGTTAAACGTAATAATGTTTGTAGTGCATTTCAGGGGCGCACATTATGTATGGGGTGGGGGGGTGGGGGGGGGTGTGACACCCCCCAACTTTTCAAAATTAGTCTAAAGTCGGTCCCCAAAAAATGCATATCAGATAAACAGTTCGGTCCCCGAACATCCGATATACTAGGTAGATATATTTATGTAATTAGGATAAATTAAAGTTGTTCATCTTTTTTATCATATTTTCTTTACTTAAAGAGATAAAAAAGAAACATGTGTTAATGTACTTCAATATAACTGCATTGACAAATGAAATAGTGAGTTTCAAAGGCAAACGGCATATTTTGAGTTTTGAAATTTGACCGACATTTGCTGGGTGCAACGTGCTTTGAGGCTTGACATTTTCTTGTAAACAATGTCTTGTATGTCTTATCCGGCGGCTGGCACATCAAACACGCAATCGTTAAAAATCCCGAGAATACTGGATTGTAAAATCAAGAAAATACTGGATAGTTGGCACTAAGATCTAAGAAGAATAGTAAAGACTGAGAATTCATTCCATGTATGTTCTGTATGTATATTTTATGCTGAATTGGCCAAATGGCTAGACACATGCTTGAGCTTCTTATAATATATGAAACAACTATGTATAAGTGTTAAACTGTAGGCCACTTTAACTATAATCGACACACTTATTTTTAAGTAAATATAATCGCCAAAACTTAATTGGCTTTGGCCTTTGGGTATGAAACATAAAAATGTATATATGTTGTAGAAAATAATTAAGTGATGAAACATAAAAATGTAGAAAAAAAACTTTTATAGCATATGTGGCCAATAAAGTCAGCATATTCAAGAATGGTGACTTGTATTCTGATTTTGTTGTTTTGTGGCCCTGAGGTTACTCGAAGTAACAGACTTGAAACGTAACAATTGTTTTACATTACACTCGGTATAAAATAACGTGCGGCTTATGCAAAAAAGTGTTTGACAATGACCACAAGGGAAAACATTGCAAGGCCATGCACCCTGAATATACTGCTAGTATGTTACCCCTACTCCTCAAGAATCAAAGACAGTTGGTTTGCTTACATATATATTATGTATTTCTTCTAATGCTTTGTGATTTCTGCCAATTCTGGTGAAATCGTCAGAATAAAAGTAATGTTACAGACTTGCGATGTCTGGAGTCTGGACGTCTAGTCCAATGCTGAAATAATGTAACTTGATAGACATGACACAGCAAAATATTATTCGGTTGTAAACAAAATGTGATACAATTATTTCTATTAGCATTTTAGTTTTCAGTTACAGTAAACTGTAGGCCATATTAGTTCATTAAAAATATAATGTAAAATATTTGTCATATATGCATGATTATCTGGTTATTTCTTTACAGTCATTCAGTCCAAAAAATAAGGATAAGGATAGTTCCATGGAAACTTCAAGATGTTCTACCACTTCGTCGCTGCTGACAGAAGACGGAGAACTGCAGGATTCTGAACAGGTTTGTTATTATTTACCTTCAAGGTAGTACCAACTACCAAATACCAAGTTGAGAATTGAGATGGCATACATTAAAGTGTAATTTAACATAAATATATACTTTTACAGTTGACTGTTGCAGTCAGTGATAGTTTAGCATTGACAACAGAAGTAAATGCAAACTTTTCTTGGTCTGAAGAAGAAAACCAGGACGATTCTGCCAGTAGTATAGTGAGAAAAGTTAACAGTTTTTTTAAGGGGGTGTGGGAATTTTTTCAATTTACTATAGATTGTATTGTGGTGGCATGTAAGGCAGATGAGGCATGCATTGTGACACAGCTCCAGACGGGATTTTTTTTTGGGTGTGTCTGTCTAGCTGCTAAGGCATGGTGTCGTGCTGGTTTGCTTTGCGCATGCGCGACGGAGCTGTTACGCCAAAGCACTGGTTGACCGTAATGAAAGTTTTGAATTTGGTGCATGCTAATATTCCCTCGTGCAGCGGTCGCCTGTGTCTAACATGTTTCCGGTGCACGCCTGCAGAAAAAATATCAGCAAAAATCAATAAAATTTGGGTAAATATTAAAAAATTGTAATAAATGTTAGTGGAAATATGTACAAAAATCAATAAAAGTTAAATACATATTAACAAATTCCAATAAATTTGAGTAGAAAACTAGGGCTAAAGCTAAAAAGTCTCATTGTCCTTAATGTAGGGTTCCGTATTAGTTTCTAAATAATTTAACTTATCTTGTATGTCACGCTGTTCCTTTATAATTTCCAAAGCCTTTTTTTGCTGATCTTCAATAAATTCGTAGCTAGCATAGTGTTTTATTGAAAAATGCTTAATGTCACTACCGAATTTCGTAAAAGTGCTCTCCTTTTTTGAACTTCACCATTTCCGGTAAGCAAGTAAAGTTTGTGACAAGCCAGGGCGACAGCGCTGTCTTTTTCAACACTTTCATTACCAATTTGTACCAGGGCGGTTTCGCGGGTGGGATGACTGGGCCCGCCACCGCGGGTTTGGTCCTCTGCATTTCTTTCATTTCTTTTGCGCTTTTTTGGTACCAGAACTGGTCTTGCTTCTTTTAAATCCTCATAAATTTCCTTCATCTGCTGAATATTTTTGCCCTGAGATTTTGGGGAAAGATCTGTTTTTTCCAAATTTACACCCATTGTAATCATGCTGGGGAGTGATGATGTTGTAATAGGGCGGTGTGAGCAGAAGCGTATTGGCGTTTCCATAGAATAAAACGTCTTTCGACTGATATACTGCACATTGCTGTTGGTTATGGCATGAACCTAAAAAGTGACAAAGCGAACATCTCTGTGAAAATACAAACATTCGAGAATGCATCCAAAGTGTTCTCTCCAGCAAGAGTCTCTGCGACGAACATCTTAAAGAAAAGTCATTTCCAGAAGATAAAAAAAAATGGGAGAAACATTTTTAAGCGCTCCAGAAGGGCAGCTGTTGTTGAAAAATCTGCTCCATTGCTGTTCGAGTATAACATGAACAACATTTTATGTGCAGAGGTATGACAGAGAAGACTTCTTGTTAGTTTTGCATCTGCATGCTCTTATCAACAAAATATAGATTGCTATATAGCATTCATAATTTTTTTCTAAATTGTTGGGCATCTCGATGAAAAGAACTGAACCACACTATATATAAATATACACATCAATTCATCAAATACATGGATTAGTGTTTGCTCTTTGGAACTGGTCTCTGTAGCTAAGTGGTCATACCGCTGCTCAGTGGTCATGGCAGTATGTTTGATCTTCCCAGATAACCTATAGTTACATGTTTAGCAAATGTTCATGGGATAGGTTTGAAATTTGTATTGATATTTTGTTCAAAATTTCCAACCATATCAAACCTTTAACATTCAATTATGTTGAGTGTGATGCCCAAAATTGTGGATTAACTTACCCGAATTACCATTTATAGTTACTATAAAACATTCAGAATGCTGTTTTAGTAATCCATGTGAGTATATATACACTTTAAGACCTGATCTGGAACGACTGCGAAAAATTCAGCACAAGGTCCCTTGGTAGGAATTGAACCTACGACGCTGTGATTCCAGTGCAGCGCTAAGCAACTAAGCTACAGAAGCCAGCTGTTGAGTAACGCGACGGTGACAGTCACACATCGCTGAGGTGTGGACATGTCTTTCAGAGCTCCTTATTTGCCTCTGAATTCTAAAAAGATGTCTAAAGATACTGTTAAATCTTTAAAAAAGCAAAATGATGAACTCAAATTACAGATTGACTCCCTGGTCGTACAAGTTAAAAAACTACAAGAAGATGTTAAACAGAGCGAAGCGAAGGAGAACAGCCATGGTGAACGAAGCAAGACAGCTCCGGATAAAGAAACTGCCGCCAGCCTACAATATTTAGGCAACGAATACGACGAGCTACAGCAGTTTAGGAAAAAAGCTAAACAACAAATATCCCAATTGCAGACAAATTATCTAGTATGATCGACGAAGCACAGCAATATAGTTACTCCTACAATATAAAACTAATGGGAATTTCCGAACTAAACTCGAAAGAATCGGCGATCGAAACTAGTCAACTCTGTATAAAAATCTTTAATGAAATGGGCGCTAACGTATCAATTGGTGATATAGATATTGCACATCGCGTACCAACGAGAACTTTTGCTGACCAACCGAAACCAATCATCTGCAAATTTATTTGAAGGCTTGCTCGTGAACAAGTCATGACAGTTAGAAGAGATGTGACTAAAATTAATCCAACGTGTATTGGTCTACCTGCTGAATCAACTATGCACTATGCTGGTATTTACGACCATCTTACACCCAAACAACAAAAGTTGCTGGCAGACACCAAGAAATTTAAAAGTGAGCACGACTACAAGTTTTGCTGGATTAAGAATAATAACATCTTTTTAAGGAAAACTGAGAATTCTCAACCAATTATGATCAAAGAGCAACGCAACCTGGATACATTGATAAGCTGACAGAATTGTATATATTGAATTTTGAAAATGAGCTAAGTTAAATTATCTTATTAGTGTGAAAGCATGGCTTCTGCTAAGAACAATGCAAGAATAAACAAAGCAAATATAAGAGAACTACCATTTGAGAAGCATGGTTCATGCACCACAGAGTCGGAATCCAGCTACTCCATTAGCTAATGTTGCAGCAGCAAAAAAGAAAGTTTTAGATTAAGATGTGTACAGGAATAATACACAAGTATAGGGAACATATACATTAAAATCGATGCAAATAATGGCATTGAAGCACAAAATGAAGTATTTAAGGGAAAGTACATTTATTACACCGAGGGAGGGGGATGAAGATGTCTTGAAAAAGCTCATATTTTTACAGGGCCCCTGTTGAGGTTATCGGTAAATTTCGATGCCCTCCCTCCAAGTTCTTAAAATTTTCAATGCCCCCCCCCCTCTAGAATTTGGAATCGAAGGAGTACAATCCGGAATTCTCTCTTATCATAGATACAATTTGCAGTTCCTCAAGATGTCTGATATACTCAAGCATGTGCTTCTCCTCAACAAAACTACCGATCTGCTGCTTCTTTCACCTCACTAGCGCCACATGAAATGGCACTGTCTTCAAAAATTTTAAATTGGCTCTAGGGGTGAATTATCAACAGGTTGTTGTTGTCCATCATTCAGCATATTCGGAGTCTTGAACACGTTCATGTAGTGGCCAGGATTTCCTGGATCAGGGTAATGTGCTGGATCCTTACAGTATGTCGCCCCCACCCAACGTATCTCCCGGCATCTGTTGCAAATGTCTTTGTATGCCTGTCAAAAATGCATGCAAAAGTGGCCAGTATGCTTCAATTTCTTTAATTTCCATCCCGTTTGTACGAAATATCCCATAAACATAGAACATATCATTCTTGCAAATCGTATATATGCTTTTTTGTTTTTGGAACTGCTACTTTTTGGCGGGTAAATTACTTCACAAACCTGGCGCCAAAAAATTTAAAATAAGCTATAGGTGATTTCATGTATCCATTTAGAAGAGCAGACTAAGGATATCTTAAAACTGAAATCGGTTTCGAATACAACCATCAGGGACGTAGCAAAGCATCTGACGTTTGGGGGGGGGGGGATGTCAGAGGATTATACATGTAATAAATATAATAAAGCTTTTTGTGATTGATTGGCACTCTCATACTACGTTTTGCGAGAAAAGGGCGGTCTGGGGGTCCTCCCCCAGAAAATTTTTACATTTTTGAAGCTCTAGGACTGAATTTCTGGCGTTATTATGCAAATTTTACCTGAAAATGTAAAAATTTTAACTTTAATTTGCTGGGGTCAAACCTTTGAAAAGTTTAGAGCCTCCCCTTCAGTATATCAAGAACTTTCAGAGGCCCCCCCCCCTTTAATGCCAGAAAATATTTCGGAGCCCCCCTTAACATCTTCATCCCCCCCTCGGCATAATAAATGTACTTTCCCTAAGTATAACTACTTGTCGAAAGGAACTGTCAAAACACTGAGTGGTGCTGCTAAAGTAATTGTGGAATGTTTTTGCCCAGAACAGTATGTGCTGAAGAATCTGAAGTTAAATAAGAATATTAAGGCAAAGAAATTCCAGAATTCCTTCATGGTCGACCACATGGATTTATAAAGCACTGCATGTAAAGAATTTAAATGCCCCTGCAAGCATATGTTTGTAGTGTTTGAAAATTCCAGTGCTGACTGGTAAAATCTGCCACTGGACTACAGAGAATCATTTCTGTATACTGCTGATAAGGATGTTGAAAAAAATGCATATAATGGTGAGCAACCAAAGGACGTGATGGAAGTTAATGACACTGCCAACAAAACAGAGTCAGGTAGCCCTCGTAGCGATGATGTAGAACCAGCTGGTGTGGCACAACTACCACAGAAAAGAAAAATAATCAGAGATCCTGCCAAACATGCAGCAAATATTACCAGAGCTACATTACAGCAACTTAAAGAACTCACTTACCTAAGCCAAGACACAGACGTCTTGAATGATGTGACGAAAGAGCTCCAGATTCTGGTTACCAAGTTATGTGCCTCAGTTCCAAAGAGCTGTGAAGGAATATACTTTTGTGCATCTCCTAAAATGAAACAAAAGTTAAAGCATATTGGTTGTATGTGCATCGGATCGGATTGGACGTTTATAATCTGACAGTTGCCTAATGTTTAAAATCCGATCCGAAATTGTCTAATCCGATCCGAGTTTTGATAAAGAATTCCAATCTGATCTGAAGAATTCTTTAATAAAATAAATTTCTCATTCAAGTTGAAATATTTAACCAAATAAATATAAAAGCAAGAAATACATGTCTAGAAGCTGACAGATTGATGTCCAATTGAAGTATCAAATGAATAATGCAGCGACAGCCGTGATAATGCTTTGATAACCAAAGGATAACCAAAGCAAAGTTACTCGGGTTAATGATTAACGATAAACTGACATGGAACGATCATATTGAGGAACTAGTGAAGAAGACTTCTCAGAAGCTGTATTTTTTAAAACAACTTAAGTGTACGCAAATACCATCAAACGATTTGGTTACATATTATTGTGCATGCGTTAGATCTTCTTTGGACTATGCATACCCAGTATAACATAGCTCTCTACCAAGTTACCTACATGACGACCTGGAAAAGGTCCAAAAGAGAGCTTTAGCGTGCATTTTCCCAGGAATACCTTATTCTGATGCTTTGGTATTGGCGGAAATACCCCCTATTAAAGACCACCACAGCACAATTACAAAGAAACTGTTCCAGTCCATATCCGAGAACCCAAAAAATAAAATCCATCACCTGATTCCAAGTGCTAACAAAAATCCTAAATACAATCTTAGGAAAAATAGGAAATTTTCACTACCACTAGTAAGAACAAAAAGATTCTCGGACTCATTTATTATGCGTGGTAGTACCAACACACTTTATGATTAGTGTAGATTATTATTAAAATCTCTAACAATATAGATTTTATAACTTTTAAAATAAGACTTTGACTCTTAAAGAAATTTTAGTTAGTAAAGTAGTTAAGTTGTAAATTTTTTGTAAAAGTTGCACAATTCAGTGTAAAACTGCAAGGTAACTTATTAAATAATCTATCTATCTATCTATCATAAATGCATGGATAATTAATTCTTGTGATAATGCGTGGATAATTAATTTATTCTATTTCGAATATCTAAATCCGATCCGATTACGAATCAACTTTATCAATCCGATCCGAAAAATGAATATTTTGGTTCCGAAATCTGAACTAATCCGATCGGATCGGTTTCGGACGATCAGACTGGTGGCACCGAAATTGTGTTGGTATAAGAGCAAATATGCAGAAGAAAATGTATAAGGTGAGTGTTCCTGTTCCACTATCTATAACAATAGAGGATGGAGAAAATTATGAAGAGAACTTAGACTCACATGTACAAAGCCACAGCTGATGACTGGAGAGATGTGTACAGAAGTCTCCTGATTCCAGTTGAACTTGAATGTTTAAACCCTGGCTGTCTCGTTAACGACTTAATTATTGAAGCTTTCCTCAGGTAAAAATTACAAAAACTGAAATACAGTATTGCTTTAATTGCCTATTAATATTAACCAATTAAGCTGCAATCATATTATTTTACTCTGCCATGTTATTTTAATTTTACTAATAGTAGAAAATTTTGCTTGTGAAAGGGGAAAGTATTCTGGATAAATAAAAAAATAGTTTATTTTCTGCCTATGGCAAACAACTTTATTTATATGAGTCTAGATGCAATGCCTGATTAATCCTTGTCTATGAAACCTTGTCTTCCAATGGTTAATAGAACTATTTTTGTTAGATACCTGCTATACGAATATGCTCAAGGGAATGTAAAGCAATCCACCATTGCGTTGTCGAGTTATTTCTTGACCAAGCTTCAGACATCTACTCATAAAAGAATCAAAACAGCAAATGGAACTGAAAAAATGTTCCCAGAGTGACAGGTTGGTGAACGCATATTAATCTATCAAGCCCCCCTGGGTGGCTAAGTATGATTGATTATATAAAATGTCTCGGAAACAATACAAACTGACATTACTGACTACAGATTACACTGAGTACAGCAATTTCCGCTATTAAAAATAATATACTTCACTGCAAACACTAGATCATCAATACAGATATTTATAGTTCACTGGGACACTGGCTCTCTCCAGTGTCGCAGCTACAATATAAATACGCTCAACCTCGGCATGTTGCCTCTGGAGCAAAATTTCAATTTTATTTTATTATTTACTATTTATTGGGCCATGTAAACCTAGCTCTATCGCAATATAATAATACAAGAATAATCTAGCTGATATAAATCAGCTGCTGACTTATAATTTTATATCAAAACTATCCACTGGCACTTATTCATGTATACATTGCTCCGTATCTTTCATAGATAAACCACTTTGCTATAATACTATCAACCTCAGATGTAATACACTCTAGTCTACACGATTTCACTACTCGTCCATGTCCACCATTGTAAAATAATAACATATGAGAGCATGTGTATTATGCACGTGTATTTATGTTGCAAGGAGCATATCATATAATAACAAGTGCTTGAAATGCAACAGCAATTCGGTTATAACTTCTCTAAATGTCGGATAAATAAGTAAGAACATGTACCATCATGAATATAAATATGGACTGTTATAATCTGCAAACAGCTATGAATGATTAGTTGGCCGAACATCGCGAAGCTCTAGAAAACGTAATAAAAATAATTTCCAAGCTCCCCCCGGATTGTTTACTCTATAGATCGATCCATTGATCGGTCACTGAATTGAATTTAACCTCATAACAATAGTGCAAAGCAACTTTGCACTAAAAAGGAGACATTTAGAAATCAACCATATTGTTAAAATTTGAATGTGTTTTCAATTGCACATATGCTGAACCATGCTGCATGAAATATTGATGGAGTGCATCACCATATATTAGAAAATGAGACCTTTAGAAATCACTAACCATTGTTAGAATCCTGGAACACTTTGCTAAGCCGACAAGTGTGTAACATGCAATCTACCTACAGTATGCATGGCAGATAATGATCTTGTCGTAATTTGGAAATAAATGATCAGCCTTGGACATAAGATCAGACATATCTGTACTGACAAATGTTCTGTAACAGCACACAAGGAGCCATTTTTTGTGGTTTGGTAGAGTGCATTGGATAGCAACAGCCTCTAAGTTAGAAGTCGCAATAGAAGTAAGAGTTGACTGCAGTTGATGAAAACACCTTCGGCAAATTCGGCCACATACAAATAACTTTCTGTCGTTCATTTGGAATATCACGAAACTTCCTCACAGGATAGAACTTGCCATTCCTAAAAAATCCTATTGTTTTTTGTTTTTCGATTTTGTTACATTTTGGCGGGAAAATGATGTGCCAACTTTGGCGCCAAAAAATTAAACACAAGCTAAGAACATGCTAGTAACTTTTTTGAAGAGATTGTCCAATAAGGATCTCAAAACTGTAAAAACATTTAAAATACAACAAGGCTGTGCGAAGATATGGCAATTCAAAATCTGAAAAAATCTATTTTTTGTAACAAAATGGCGGATTTTTCAGACTTTTAAGCGCCATATCTTTGCACTGCTCTGGCATATTTTCAATGCCTTTACAGTTTTGAGATCCTTATAGCACAATCTCTTCAAAAAAGTTGCCAGCATGTTCTTAGCCTGCATTTAATTTTTTGGCGCCAAAGTTGGCACGTCATTTTCCCGCCAAAAATAACAAAATCGAAAAACGATACAATTTTTAGGAATATCAAGTTCTATCCTGTGAGGATGTTTCGTGATATTCCAAACTAACAACAGAAAGTTATTTGTACGTGGCCGAATTTGCTGTCTTTTTTGCCCACCATGAATAGCTACTAACACGCCTCCTCCAGTTCATCCTAGTGATCGATCGGTCTGATAGATGTCGTACCCATGGGGTAGAATTTCTTTGCTGGAAATATCGCTGTTGAGCCACGTTGTTTTCAAGAGCTATTAAGGCAAAATCAGACATTCCGAAGATCAGAATTATGAAAAAGATTGACCATGAAATCATGTTCTTGTTCATCTTGATGTTTGCCGTGAAAATAAGTTCAATCCAATTGACAAAATTTGATTACCAAGCTTAATTAATCCATTCTAAATAAAATTCTAATTCTAATTTGGTCGTTCTTGTCAAATTGTGATGTTAAATTAACATAAAACACGGAGCAATTAAGCTTGCGCCTTGACGACACAGGAGTCACGTCACATCATTTTGGGCATACCACATGTCAGGGCAGTGTGGTTATAGTAGAATTGCAGCTTATCATGAGGGCCCTCAAATATATGAACTGATGGATTGTTGATAAATTCCTTAAAAATATCCGAATTTTTTTTTATTTTTATTTTATTATTATTTAAAAATATTTTAA